AAGGAGTTTGTGCTCTTTTCTCTTGGTTCACGCTCCTGGCTTGTGGACTCTTATGCTCCTGCATTTGCCCACACGGCTCATGGCCATGCAGACACCTTCCCCCTGCCCCCAACACACACACACAATGGACTGATGGACTACAACTAGCCCATGCTGTACTGGACCCAGCTCCAACATGGAGTGGAAACTCTGGACATGGGCTTTGCTCTCTACCACCTGGTTCTTCCCAAATACTCCCTGTATACCTCTGAAAGGTTCACACTCACAGAACATCGGCATTGTTTTCCTCTAGTGGATGATTGCATTGGGGGTGGTTTTTAGTGGATACCTTTTAACTGTTTTCAAAACATCTTTAGTATTATCCATTTGCAAAGGTAAATGATATATAAATGATAAAAGGAAGAAACAAAGGTTCTTCAGGATGGTGCCTTCTATAGGGCCTGAGTCTGTTGCTGAAAAGGACTTTCAGGGCTTGTCTGTTGTGGAGGGTACTGTGTCTCTGGGCAAGTACACGGCTTGGAGGTCGATAAGGATGATGTGGAGGAGTTGGTGGATCACTGAGCTGACCACCGAGGAACCCCAAGACCTTCAGAGGGAGCACAGATGGCCGCTGAGGAGCTCTCTTCAGAGGACCATGGAAGGTAAGATGCTCTTACTTTGCTAATCAAGGCAATGCTGGGGAAATGGGGAGAAATGCAATTTTACTGAGAAATATCACTCCGACAAAGAAGTAGCAAACCATGCAATAAACTTGTTCAATGACAATGCAGAGTTTCACTTTAGACAAGTGTTAAAACGCAGACAAAACCAAACATTGTTGGATACGTTTTCAGTGAGACAGAGGCCCAGTGAAGCTGAAGCGAGTTCCAGTGGAGCAAAGAGACAGAAGACAGACCCCGGCCTGTGTGGCTCAGTGGATTGAGCATTGTCCCATGAACTGAGAGGTCCTGGTTCAATAACTGGCCAGGGCACAAGCCCAGGTTGTGGGCTCAATCCTCAGTAAGGGGTGTATAGGAGGCAGCTGATCGATGTTTCTGCAGAAGGCAGCTGATCAATGTCTCTGTCTCACATCAATGTTTCTATGTCTCTCTCTCCCTTCCTCTCTGTAAAAAAAAAAAAAAAAAAAAAAATCAATAAAACATATTAAAATAAGAGAGACAGAGATAGAAAAAGAGAGAGAAAGAACCCCAGAAGAATATATAGAAGAACAGCTACCTAAACTTTCTATAGATGGGGATTCTCCTTCCAAACAAGAGCATCCACCACTCCTTCACTCCTCCACCCCTCCACCCTTTCATCTTTCATCTCTCCATTTCTCCATCCCACCATCCTACCATACTCCCATCCCTTTAGCCCCCTTCTGCATCCCCCATCTCTCTATCCCTACATCCCTGCATCCCTCTCTCTCTACATCCCCCATCCTACCATCCCTCCCTACGGCCATCCTCACATCTTGCCATCCCTTCATACAATCATCCCTCCATCCTCCCATTACACCATCCCTCTATTCCTTCCTGCCTCCATCCTTTAATCCTATCATCCCTCCATCCCACCATCCCTCCATCTCTCCATTCCTCGTTCTCTCCATCCCTCTCTCTCATCTCACCATCCCTCAATCCAAACATCCCCATTTCTCCATCTCTCCATCCCCCATTCCTTCACCCACATCCCTCCATCCTCCATCCCTCCATCCAATTATCCCTCCATCCCTCCATCCCATCATCCCTCCATCCCTCCATCCCACTATCCCTCCATCCCGCCATCCCACCATCCCTCCATGCCTCCATCCCGCCATCCCTCCATCCCGCCATCCCACTATCCCTCCATCCCTCCATTCCTCCATCCCATCATCCCTCCATCCCTCCATCCCACCATCCCTCCATCCCTCCGTCCCGCCATCCCTCCATCCCGCCATCCCGCCATCCCTCTATCCCGCCATCCCTCCATCCCGCCATCCCTCCATCCCGCCATCCCACTATCCCTCCATCCCTCCATCCCTCCATCCCATCATCCCTCCATTCCTCCATCCCATCATCCCTCCATCCCTCTGTCCCGCCATCCCTCCATCCCGCCATCCCGCCATCCCTCTATCCCGCCATCCCTCCATCCCGCCATCCCTCCATCCCGCCATCCCACTATCCCTCCATCCCTCCATCCCATCATCCCTCCATCCCACCATCCCTCTGTCCCGCCATCCCTCCATCCCGCCATCCCATCATCCCTCCATCCCACCATCCCTCCATCCCGCCATCCCGCCAACCCTCCATCCCTCCATTCCCCACCTTCCCGCCATTCCTCCATCCCTCCATCCCATCATCACTCCATCCCTCCATCCCACCATCCCACTATCCCTCCAACCCTCCATCCCTCCATCCCGTCATCCCTCCATCCCTCCATCCCACCATCCCACTATCCCGTCATCCCTCCATCCCGTCATCCCTCCATCCCACCATCCCACTATCCCTCCATCCCATCATCCCTCCATCCCACCATCCCACTATCCCTCCATCCCACCATCCCTCCATCCCGCCATCCCATCATCCCTCCACCCCTCCATCCCTCCACCCCTCCATCCCTCCATCCCTCCATCCCGCCATCCCTCCATCCCGCCATCCCTCCACCCCGCCATCCCTCCACCCCGCCATCCCTCCACCCCGCCATCCCTCCACCCCGCCATCCCTCCACCCCGCCATCCCTCCACCCCGCCATCCCTCCACCCCGCCATCCCTCCACCCCGCCATCCCATCATCCCTCCATCCCATCATCCGTCCATCCGTCCATCCGTCCATCCGTCCATCCCTCCATCCCTCCATCCCACCATCCCTCCATCCCTCCACCCCGCCATCCCTCCACCCCGCCATCCCTCCACCCCGCCATCCCTCCACCCCGCCATCCCTCCACCCCGCCATCCCTCCACCCCGCCATCCCGCCATCCGTCCATCCCGTCATCCGTCCATCCCTCCATCCGTCCATCCCTCCATCCCACCACCCCTCCATCCCTCCACCCCTCCATCCCTCCACCCCTCCATCCCTCCACCCCGCCACCCCTCCATCCCTCCATCCCTCCATACCATCATCCCTCCATCCCGCCATCCCACCATCCCTCCATCCCTCCACCCCGCCATCCCTCCACCCCGCCATCCCTCCACCCCGCCATCCCTCCACCCCGCCATCCCATCATCCCTCCATCCCTCCATCCCTCCATCCCTCCATCCCTCCATCCCACCATCCCTCCATCCCTCCATCCCACCATCCCTCCATCCCGCCATCCCACTATCCCTCCATCCCTCCATTCCTCCATCCCATCATCCCTCCATCCCGCCAACCCTCCATCCCTCCATCCCACCATCCCTCCATCCCGCCATCCCTCCATCCCGCCATCCCTCCATCCCGCCATCCCACTATCCCTCCATCCCTCCATCCCATCATCCCTCCATCCCTCCATCCCACCATCCCTCCATCCCACTATCCCTCCATCCCTCCATCCCGCCATCCCTCCATCCCTCCATCCCTCCATCCCGCCAACCCTCCATCCCGCCATCCCTCCATCCCGCCATCCCTCCATCCCTCCATCCCTCCATCTCGCCAACCCTCCATCCCTCCATCCCACCATCCCTCCATCCCGCCATCCCTCCATCCCGCCATCCCTCCATCCCGCCATCCCACTATCCCTCCATCCCTCCATCCCTCCATCCCATCATCCCTCCATCCCTCCATCCCTCCATCCCACCATCCCTCCATCCCACTATCCCTCCATCCCGCCATCCCTCCATCCCTCCATCCCTCCATCCCGCCAACCCTCCATCCCTCCATCCCACCATTCCTCCATCCCGCCATCCCTCCATCACGCCATCCCGCCATCCCTCCATCCCGCCATCCCGTCATCCCTCCATCCCTCCATCCCGTCATCCCTCCATCCCTCCATCCCACCATCCCACCATCCCGCCATCCCTCCATCCCGCCATCCCTCCATCCCTCCATTCCGCCATCCCGCCATCCCGCCATCCCTCCATCCCTCCATCCGCCATCCCGCCATCCCGCCATCCCGCCATCCCGCCATCCCTCCATCCCACACTCTTCTTTATATTCAGTCATCAATAGCTCTCAACATTAAAGGTAAGTTCTGGTGTACACATAAATTTTTAATTTTTACTATACATTTCATCTTTTTGTTAAATTTTCTTTTACATTCTATGTCCTTTTTGTTTTTAAAGTATTTATTTGTAGAATAATCAATACATTAGACAAGTACTATATATAAGGAAGGTTAAAAAGTAATATTTATAAGAAAGGTTAAACTTTGGGGTTCTGGAACAAGTTAATTCAATTTATGTAATATCTAACCAGAAAAATTATTCAGTTTTTGAACAGATTTCTTCTCAAACAGTGTTCCATGGCTGTGGATGATGAGTTTCCACTGTCATTTTCTTTCTTGATTTTTTATTGTTGAAAGTATTACAGATCTTCCCCCCTTTTCTCCTCATCGGCCCCTCCTTCCTAACATCTAGTTTCCTGCTTAGTCTGGTTCCTGTTCATTTGTCCATCTGTAAGAGTAACAATGTTCCCTCTACTCCTTCTCTCTTATCCTCCTGTCTTCCATCATTCTTCTTTATCACTTTCTACTTTCGTCCATCTCTTTCTCCTTCTCCCTCCCTCTCTTCCTCCTACTTTCTCTACTTTCTCTCCCTCTAACTCTTTCTTCCTTTTCCCCATTCCAACTTCCTTCCCTCCCTCCATTTCTCCTTCTGAGTTGCTGCTTTAATCTTTCTCCCTCTCATTTTCTGTTCCCTCTCCTTTGCTTGCCCCACTCCCGCCCTCCCTTTCTTCCTTCAGCGTCTAACATGGAAGATTTGGAAATAACAACCAGGAAAAGACGATTCACTTTGGGAAGGAAAGAATCTGTCTTGCTATGAAGAGTCTCGTGTCTCCAGAGGGAGGCAGACGGCCTGCAGAGAGGTGAAGGGAAGCAGGAGGGCCCCGGGGAAAAGCCCCTGCCGGGCTCACGGGGCCCTGGCTGGCCTTGACCGCTTCCACTCCTCTTCTCGAAGCTTCGTCCGCAGGACTTTCCCGGAGATCGTTTTGGGCAGGTCCAGGACAAACTCCATCTGTGGGGACAAGGGGGTGGAGTGTTTTAGAGGAATTGCTGTGGGGTGAGGGGAGCTCCTGAGGTTGGAGGCTCCAGGCGAGCCCCCAGGACAGCCCCTGTGCGACAAGAAGGTCCGGAAAGTGCTCTGGGATGAGGAAAAGGAGAACATGACCAGTACAGGACATAAGTCGGCCACCTGGTCTCTGACATACTCTGGGACAGAGCAGCATGCAGGGAGATGACATGACGCGGGTCAGGCGCCTGAGCTTGAACATGACTCTGCGCCAGTCTCTGCTCTGCCCGGCCCTGAGCAGGTCACTCGGCTTTGCTGAGACTCAGTTTTCCCAGTGAGTAAGCCGGAAAATGACAACTCTGGGGCATTGTGGTGAGGATAAAATGAGGTCACGCAGGCTAAGTTCCCGGCCTGGGCCAACGCTTCGAAGTGTTGGCGGTGGCTACGAATCTGGACTAGAGGCAGTGCACGGCCAAGGGCGAGGGAGCCGGCTTGCATGGTCATCTCCATCATCTCCTGTCGGCGTCCTTGGCAGAACGAAAGCCTCTCCAGTGCGCCTTTCTCACTGTGGGAAGGGGTGTCTGAGGCGGAGTACTCTTCCCTCTCTGCTAGTCCCAGTCCTACGGGACAGGCGATGAAGGGATTCCCCGAGGCTTCTGGTTATATGGCTCAGCTTGTGAGCATTGGTCCAGAAGTCAGATGGTGCTGGGCTTAAGAAAAGTGACAACAATAGGGATACTGGTATGAAAAAGTATCCTTTCAGCAGCCGACTTGCCAGGAGGCAAGATTAACTTTGGGAAGGAAAGAATTTGTTAAAATCACAGTGGGATAGAGCAGGGGTTTGGCAAACTATAGCCTGTGGGCAGAACCCAGCCCTTCTCCTATTTTTCTAAATAAAGATTTATCAAACAACAGCCATACCTATTCACTCATACCTGTGGCTGGCTACAGGTGTAAGTATAAGGGCAGAGGTGAGTTGTTCACAAAGGCAAAAGGACCTACAGTCTTTACTGTTTTGTCCCAGGAGAGAGCAGGACAGCGAAGAGGAGATCAGCCTTGATGCTAAGAAGAAGGCCGCTCTGCAGAGCAAGGGGCGGGGAGCAGGAAGGTGTGGTCCTGGAGGAAGGAGGGGGAGAAACCTGCTGCCCAGGGCGCTCTAGAGGGGAGACTTGTCAGGGAGACACATCCATTGAGTGATAACACGCTGTCATACTGTGTGACAGGACCTCTCCACCAGATCCTCAGAGACATTCGTTACAATTCAACACTCATAGTAGGCTTGGTGTGATTGGGTTTCTAGTCTCTTTTTGAAATATTATTCAATTCTTATTAGGTATGTTACAGATATTGACCATTCTTTTTAACAACCTGTGAAGGCGTAACACCACCACCCCACTTTGCAGATAAGAAAGCTGAGGCACAGAGAGGTTGCCCAGTAAGTGGTGGAGGTGAATGCGCAGTCTTTCCGGAGACGGCGAGACTGCCTATCAGTTTGAGGCCGCAAGTCTGCGCGGTGGACTCTGCTGCGCGCTCGCTGTCCCCCTGCCAGACCCCTTTGGGGCGCGCGGAGGCTCAGGGAGCTCTCTCAGGGCAGCGCCCCTTCCCTGGGCAGCCTGCACTGAGGCCGGACCTCGTGGGCGGGACAGCGCCCCCTGCCTGCTGCCGCCCAGGAAACTCTGAAAGGGTGTCCCAGCTTCAGAGCACCCCTTGGGGCTGGCTGAGGCCCCAGGAATCACATCACAGTGGGACTTTCCCTTCCTTCCCCCTCCCCTCCCTCGCCCTCCCCGCCTTCCCTTCCGTGCTCATCACAAGTAACTCCCTAATAACCTCTTACATGTTCGTCTCCCTTGCAGAGTGCTCCGCAGACACCTAGCCTGGCTGACAAACTGTGGGTGAGCATCTGGGTTACGTAAGAATCGGAGGGACTTCAGGCTTAGTATGGTTGCTCTCACCTTCCACCTCAGGCTCAAAGAAAATAAAATAAAAACTTTTCCTCTCTTGCGCTCAGCTCCAAAAACTGGGTCCCCCTTCTGTGTCCACCCTTACACCTTCATTCCCTGCCCCAGAGTGAAAACAGATATAACAGATTCTGTGCTGTCTGCCTTTTCTGTGAACAGCCCTCCCATTTACCTGGGGGCCCCCCACTCAGTCCTCCAGGTGCAGGGCAGCCCTCCCCCTTCCTCCCATCTTCCTGCACTCTCTCCAGGGGTGGCCACAGGACCCAGAACTGCCAATCAAAGTGTTTCATCCCCTGGTTCCAGGGGTTGGGTTAACAATGGACACATGACTTGAATTGGCCCAACAAGAATCAACTTAAAGACTTGCTGGTGCCTTTGGGGAAAAGGATGCTTTTTTCTACTAGGATTTGCAAAGCTGCTAAAAATGTATGTTTGGAGCTGTTGGGGTCCATCACGAAGGGAGAGCACATCAGGAAAGGAAACCAACACAAAAGGGACAGTCCAGGGGTGGAAGAGCCATCCCTGCCCCTGTCACTTGTGTGCCTGTGACCAGCCATGACTGAGGCTTCACCCCCTGGGCTTCTCAGTCGTGAGCAATGAACTTCAAGTTGGATTTCTGTCACTTGCAGCTCAGAGAATCCTGAGTAATGTGGCAAGACCTTGGTGCAGAGAGTGGGAATAGAGGCAGGATATTGGCTGAAACTTGTTCTTATGGGCGCATCTGATTTTCAGAGTGAGCTAAGTGCTGAGGCCAACTTTCAGGCACCCGTGGTGGAGGCTGGATGGTCTTTCTCAGCTTTCTTGGTCAAAGTCAGGCAGAACTTTGAAAGCAGACTCCTAGTCCACAGGCGGAGAAGGGAAATATGAGAGGTCGTCATCTGTCCTGCCTCGAGGGTGGGAGCCCAGAGCCCTCACCTTCCTGGGGTACTTGTACGGCGCCGTCACCGACTTCACATGCTGCTGCAGCTCCTTGGTGAGCTGGTCTGGGTCACGGGACAGAAACGCTGGCGCCAGGACCACAAATGCCTTCACCACCTGCAGCGAGGGTGATGGCCAGAGAGACGGGATCAGAGCACAGCCTGATCTCCTGGGAAGACTTCCACCACAGCCGCCACCTTCGTGTCCTCGCAGATATTTGGGGCTGGGAAAAAGGAGAAAGGGGGTAATAATGGCCACGAGTCCAGTCGCCTCTCACATGGCTTATTGGATGGGCAGGTAGGACTGTAGAGTGAGACCTGGCTCACCTCCTATCCCAGGGACAATAGAGAATGGCAGTGAGGAACTGGATACAGGTGACGAGAAGAAAATAAAGACAGGACCATAAACCTGAACCATCTGCTTAGCCTCTCCAAACTGCAGTTTGTACGTCTATAAAATGGAGAGCCAGTGGTCATACTTAATTCATGGGAAATAAAATGAAATTGTATACCGCCTGGCTTAGTTCTGTGCTTGGCACACAGAGTTTCTCAGTAGAGGATCCTCTTTGGGCTCCATTTCCCTAGTGGTTCCTATGATTTCTGTGGTGATACGTCCCATACCTGCCAGAGATATGCTACTGTCAACTTGCACCCTGCAGAACTGTGCATGAACATTGACCCAAACTCTGCGCCTTACCTTTCCCCACACACACTGAGCTCCGTTAGACTCCATCTGGATCTTTTTCTACAACCCTGGCATTATTGTGTCTTTCATCTTCCCTGTATTCTCATTGCAAACCCCATGGCTCAGGGGCTCTATTTCTTGGCTCAAATCCCTCCTCTGTTCTTCTAGTCAGGGATCAGATTCTGATTCAAGTGCCAATAATAGTAGACCTTGTGAGGTGCTTGCTATGTGCCAGATCTTATTCCAAGCATGTTCCAAATATTAACACATTTCATCATCAAACCACCCCTCATCTCACAGATAGGAAACTGAGGCTCAGAGAGGCTAAGTAACTTGCCCAAGTTCTCACAGCTAGTAAGTAAGCAATAGGGCCAAGATGTGGACCCAGGATGTCCAGCACCAGAGTACATCTCTTAACCATCATACAATGTGCCCTTGTTTCCCAAACCTGCACGCCCCCAGCTTGCTGCTCCCCCATCACCTCTCCTCGGATGGGGTCTGGGCTGCTGATAACAGCGGTCTCCACCACAGCGGGGTGCTCCATCAGTGCGTTCTCCACCTCTGCGGGTCCGATCCGGTACCTGGAGAAGAACCTACCCTTCAGAGAACACTGGACATAGTCTCTAGGCCAGCCCCCAAGTCTGGAATCAGTCAGAATAAAAATCCAGGTGACCCTTTCCAGTCCAGAACCCAAGCTCACCCGCTGGAGTTAATGATTTCATCTGCCCGCCCTATGAACTGGAAATATCCGTCTTGATCCTTGATGGCCCGGTCTCCCGTGAGCCAAAAATCCCCTCGAATGCTGGCTGCTGTCTTCTCAAGATTGTCCTGGTGACCACAGAAAGATGGTCATCGTACCCACAAAGCCTAGATCCTCTGTCCCAGGGCTGCCAGGGATAGACGTGATGGCTGTGCATTTACAGCTAGAACAACTACCCATGGTGGGCTTGCCCTGCACCTGCCAACCCCAGGCCCCGGTGAGCTGGAGCAACCCCTTTGCTTCAGGTACTCCTCAGGGCTTCTCCCCACCCCCTGGGTCCAGTCTAAGGGATAACATCAATGTACTCATTCACCATGCCCTCCGACATTTCCCCCACTGATTCCGTCTCCCTGTCAATGGTCAGCCTAACTAATTCCTGCTCCATCTCATGACCCCATTTAAGAGCAGCAAGGTTTAGGAGACATTTGAAAGCTTTTGAAATCTACCAGCAAGCCCCCAGGGTCCCACCAATGTGCATATGTCTACAATGGCTGGACCCCTCTGTTCAGCGGAGGCACTTGCTCGTGAACAGTGAGTGCACCCTCGTTAGTGCATCTTTGTGTCTGGCTCCGGTGTAGAAGTGTGGGCTCCGGATTGGACCTTCAGTCCCTGGGCTCGAAGGTGGCGTGGAGTTCATAGGCTAGCTTCTTTACTTGGAAAATATGGGTATTGATGATCAGAGAGATCAAAAGGCGAGTCCAAAGCCAAACAGCCATTACAGACGACAGAGAGGAGACCTGAAGTCAAACCTCCTGACCCCACCTGCACTTTCCCCTGGTCACCGTGCAGCTCCTGCTGGCACTGTCTCTGTGGGCTTGGGGCCAGTCTGTTTGCTGGACTGTCAAACCGGGAGAACCCCTTGCCTCAGCCACCTCAGGGGCGTGTGGAACGGAGCGGGACTGCTCCCAGGAAATACCCAGGGAAGTGCGTGGTGGGGCTGTATCCTCCTCTCTGAGGCTCAGTTTTCCTCATCTGTGTAATGGGAGTGATGAATCTCCAGCAGTTCTCTTCTCTCACACTCTTACATAGCGCTGTCCTAACTGTTTCACAAATACTGATGCCTTTTCATGTCACAGTAATGCTATGAGATATTAGAACACACATTTCGCAGGTTAGGAAATCGAGGCATGACAGACCAGTTGCTTGCTCACACAGTATATAGTGGAGGAAGGTTTGAACTCAAGCAATTTGGCTCCAATAAGGTCATTGGGAGGATATGAGTTTAATGTATATGAAGTGCTTTGGGACTACGCATAGCACGTGGTAAGCGTACAACAAATGGCAGCAACTGTTATTACTGAATTTATTCTTTGATTAAATATGTGAGATCTTCTTTCCCACTTTTCAGCAGTGGTGGGCTTGCATGAGTCTTGTGATCTCTGGTGTCACCATCCTCACCTCCGAAGTGAGGCGGTTGGACCCAAGGACCCCTGTTTCTAACATTCCAGGGCTGAAGACGGGGTGGCCTGCAACTACACGGTGAGGCTCAGCGTGATGTGTGCCAGGTGGTGACGAGCGCCAGTGGCACGGAGCACGGAGACGAGACGTGGCTGCAGGCTGCCCTTGGGAGAACCCTGCCGTGTAGTTCAGGGGCAATGAACTTTCTGCCATGAAATAGTTCTTGTGGGTGGAAAGGGGTATTCAAATAAAGGTAATTCTTCAGATGAGATCTTAGTGGTAGGCTAAGGATGGCACGGGAGAATGGCCAGTCTTTTATCTTGGCAAAGCACCTATTCTCAGACACTGGATACTCCTTGCCAATGCCTCTTGGGACATTCACAATGTTGGGCCCTCCCTCCTCCCTCCCACAGCCCCTGTACCCACCAGGGGGCAGAGATGGAGGAGCACACATCCCTTACCACATAGCCAGAGAACATGCCTATGGGCCTGATGGGTTTGATCCTGATGCCCAAGTCTCCTTCTGCACCAGGGGGCAGGACGTGGCCCTTGTCATCTACAACCTGGAGGAAGAAGCAGTAGGAAGAAGGATCTGCATAACAGGAGATGTGAACAGCGGCACGGAAGAGCTGAGCTGGCCGGGTGGACACCCTCCTGCTCTAGTGGTAACTGAAAACAAGCACCAGAAGCCAAGGGAAGCCAAGAGTTTGAAACCCAGATCTCTGCTCCTTCTTCCTGGAATGGGCCAGGTGCAGCCTGGGGTTGAGACTGGACCAGATGAGCTTGGGAAGCATCTGGCTTTAGGAGCTCAGGAAATACAGCAGCCTCCCGTTGTCTGAGGTCCATGGACTTGGACATCAGACAGATCCACACTCAAATCATGACTCTGTACCTTACTCGTGTCTTTGAGCTACTTAAGCTCTAAGTCTCAGTGACTTCATCTCTAAAACAAAGGTACTAACCGCTCATTTCACAGGACTGTTATCAGAATGAAACAGGATACTAAGAAGAGAGCTCCATGCATGGTGCCACAGGGGGAGCAGGTGACCACACAGGCCACTCAACAGAGCTGTTGTACTCCGGGTCTGTACGTCTGTGCACAGGACCACGGGTACACACAGAGTCCACTGCTTGGACTTTAGCCCACATAAATAATAGAGAAAGGGAGCAAACTTTTAGCTACAACACATTTATTGTGGTGTTTCACCAGGGAACACTTTAGACACCGTCATTGCCCGACAAAGCTGTGGAGAGCGGGGGCACCGCGGGGTCAGCCACTGCGGCCGTTACAAGTCCTGCTGGGGGTCAGTGTTGTTGGCCTGGGACGATGGTCACCCAAGACTTTTCACAAAGAAAGTAGCAAAATTATATGTCAAGATGCACCCCTATTTTTATTTTAAGAATGTGTATATTTATATAACTAGCAAGCTAATTTGCTGGCTATTCAAAGTGTTTTTCTGCATGATAAGAATATAAAACTTTCCCTTTTCTTTCCTTCCTTCCTCCTTCTTCATGTTATTTTAATACCTTTGCTTTTCATTATTTTTCCTTCATGAAGAATGTAGTAAATCAGTTCCTGAGAAAGGCGTGTCTTCCCCCACTCCCGCATGCACCTGACAAACCTGCACGTCGTAGTGAGGAGTCGCGGTCCCCATGCGACCAGGTTTCACTTTCATTGTCTTGGAAACTCTGCAAGTGATTCCCTGTGGAAGCAGTAAGTAGACAGAGGGGCAAACTTCAGGAGAGCAGTCAGTCACAGAAAACATTCAGCAGAGCACGTCTGACAATCCGGTAGGGGGCTCCCTCCCCCCTTCCCTGGCTCTCCCCTTCCCGGGACATTGTTTGGGAAGCAATCTGATTGACTACTCCCTAGGAGAAAGGAGCTAACAACCACGTTATAATCTTTTAAAGAGAAGTCATACTTTCCCAAGAGACCACGGACACCGAAAGTCCTTTAAGACAGTATGGGGTAAACCACCTCGGTAAGAGGCCAGCCTTGCCGAGTCCTGGAATAAAGTCTCCTACGGAGATGCTGGCGCCCAGAGGAGCGTGTGCTGAACGAGGCTCCCTCTGGAAGGCTGGACCCTGCCATGCCCGCCTTGTCCCCCCACACTGGCAAACCTCTTCCATGTCACAGCACGGCCACAAGCCCTCTCAGGAGTCCTGCCAGGGCCCGTGAGCCATAGAAGGACGTGGGGTCCAAGGGTGCCGGGGGAGGAGAGAAGTGCTGAGTCATGAGTGAGAGGCACTGGGGATAGAAGGTGCGGAAGTGCCCCCAGACTGTTTGGATGAGCAGTGCACGGAATCCACATCGTGCTCAAGGGCTGCAGTGCTCCGAGGAGATATGTCAGCAGGTGCGGGGGCGGGGGGGGGGGTGCTTACTGGGCTCTTCCCCTGACCCTCACTCCAATCTGAGCAGCTTAGCATAGTGCCTGGTACATCTGACACACCTGGGTCTCTGCTAACAGGTTACCCCACTTCGGAGGACTCTCCTGACCACCACTGCTGACAAAGAGGCCTCCCCCCTCACCCCACTTCACCCAGCTTCATTTCCCTCCGCAGAACTGCTCACTGCCTTCCACGTCACGTTCATTAGTCTACTCCCCCCTCTCCCCCCGTGAAAATGCCATCTCCCTGAGAACAGGAGTTTGCTGTTTTATTCTCCGCTGAATTTTCAGAACCTAGCCCACAGAAGGTGCACAATAAATGTTTATGGAATAAACACATGATAAATGGTGGCGCATCTTTTACTATTGAAGAATAAGAAAGCCCACCAGGCTGACCCGCTGTGGCTCCCCAGGAGCAGGTACCGTTTCTGTCTGGCCGTAGAACTCTCGGATGTCCAGTCCTGTCTGAGACTTCCAGTTCTCCAGCGTGTCTGGGAGGAGCGTCTCCCCGCTACTGAAGCAGTTCTGGAGATGTGGGAACTTGTAACTGAAGAAGAAAAGAGAGGTAAGTGTTTCCCTTAGCCTCCCTAAACCAAACTCTGGGGCTGGATTCTGGGTGCTCTGAAGATGAGCTTGTTGGCATGGGGCCACCATGCTCAGAGGGTCAATAATGAGCATGTGTGGAAGTAGGGGAGGCAAGAGGATGGGCCAACAGATCCAGAGGTTCTCACCACCCCCAAGGCTCATCACCTGGAAAGGTCCTGTTGTACCAACATTCGGTAAACGATGGGTGCTCCTACCAGGTTGGTGATTGGGTAGCTGGACAGCACCTGGAGGAAAGAGCTGGCTGAGACACTGACCCCAGGTCAGGTGCAGAACTTCCCAGTGTGCACAGTGGTTACGAGCACGGGCTATGGCACTGTAGGGTCTGCATTTAAGTCTCAGCTTCTTTGCTGTGCCTATTTCAGGCCCAATGAGCCCCAATCCTCATGCTCCCTTAAGCCAAAAGTAACAGAGAAATGACCACCCATTATTATAGAGAAAAGGTCCAGGATTAATTTGGGACATTTTTGTCAAGTTGAGCTGCCTGTTCCTGCCCATTTAATGACTTGTCCTCATAAACGCACCTTCAGGGTTATGTGAATCCCCAGTCACCAAGGGAAGGAGACCAGCCACTGTTGCAAGTTGACTGTGTGGTCTTGGTTAAGTCCCTTAACCTCCTGGGACCAGCTTTATAGTAGATTAATCCAGGTAGAAAAGTGCCTTGAACAGTTAAAAGTGCCTTACAGACATTTCAGAAGTGCTATGAAAATTTAGCTAGTACTGGCCACTTGCCAGACCCTGCGCTGTCCCTTTTAAATTTCACAGCAAGCTCGTGGAGTTTTATTGTCAACCCCACTTCACAGAAGGGAAGAATGGGACTCAGAGGGTTACGTAACTGGCCTGGTAGTGGAACCAGCATTTGCAGCTGGTACTGTTAACTGTTATGTAACACTAACTTTGTCTCATGCTTTGCTTTGTACAAAATTTATGTACAACATTTATTAGAAAAACTTAGGCAAAAATGTTTAGAAAAAATGATTACTATTAGGAAATCATGCAATTGTTTCCTCCAAGTACTCTTTTTTTTGTTTTGTTTTTTTTGTTTTTGTTCAGATACAGTGGGAGGGAGAGAGAGGAAGAGACGGAGAAAGAGAGAAACATTGATGTCAGAGAGAAACATTGCACGTCGACCATGGATCATATGCACTCTGACTGGGGATTGAATCTGTAGCCTGAGTGTTCCCTGGCTGGAAATCGAACCTGTGACCCTTTGGTGCATGGGATAACCCTCTAACCAACGGAGCCACACAAGCCAGGGCATCTTCCAAGTACTACTGATGAATTGGTAAATGCTATGAAAATGATCTCATTTCCTTTATTGCTTTGCCTTATAGGAAGCTCATTGTGCAATTACCTACTTATTTGCTGTACTTCTCCTTACTCTCGTTGGTCTCTTCACCCCACAAAGCCAACCTATATTCCTAATAGGTTTTATAATTTTGTAACTGTTTTCCTGTGGGTTTTTTTTTCCTTTCTATTAGTGACACTTAACAGAAGCCACATGAAATTGTTTTTGGAAGGAGACAGAGTAAGACTTTTTTAAAATCAGAGAATGACAGAGTCATTTGACGAGAATCTCCTGAGATAATCTAGACCAAGCAGAAGTTTGGGTGGGCCCTTCACTCCTACAGAGATCTGGAGGCCCCAGATGTCAATGGCCCAACTCCTCGTCACAACTGGAGTCCAACATCGGTGTCCCTGTGCAAGCCAAATGAGACACTCCCACTGCTTTGTTGCTCCTGGGCCAGGCTGTTTGCAGATTTTATTTAATGGCTGCTCTATCAGGTTCCACAGAAAAAACTCTTATTTATTCTTCAAAACTCCTCATAGATAATAGATCCAAACTGGCAATTGCCCTCATGTCCATCAACAATAAGATAGAAAAAGACATTATGATTGATATGCAGAATGGAGTACTATGCAACAGTTGAAAGTAACAAACTTCTCATATGTGCAGGAGTGTGGAGAGTATGCACAGAAAATGTGTTGAGCGAAAGGAGCCAGACACAAAAGATTACATAGTGGATGATTCCACTTACATGAAGATCACACAGAGGCAACATTAATGTATGGTGATGGTGGTCAAAGAGTGATGGACAAGTAGAGTGTGGACGACAGCATGAGGCAGCATGAGAATTTCTGCAGCCATGAGGATGTCTTAGGTCTTGCAAAGGTGGTGGTTACATGGGTGTCTGTTACAGATGGAATGCTGTGTCCCCCCAGTGCATGTTGAAGCCTTCACCCCCACGGGATGGTATTTGAAGGTGGGGCCTTTGGGAGATAATTTGGTTCAGGTCAGGTCATGAGGATGAGGCCCCTATGATGGAATTAGTGCCCTTAAAGAAGAAGAGACATGAGAGCTCACTCTCTCACCCTGTGAGGACACAGCAAGAAGGCAGTTGTCTGTAAACCAGAAAGAGAATGGCACCCTGATCTCAGACTCCCGGCTGCCAGTCCCGTGAGAAAGAGATGGCCCTTGTCTAAGCCTCCCAATCCATGGTATTCTGTTACAGCAGCCCAGCTGGCTAGCAGTGTCCAGCACAGATAAGTTATTTGCAAGCTCTACACCTAAAATAATTGTACTCTGTGCACCTTACCTTTTGTCTGTGCTATACTTCAAATAAAAGAAAATAACACACACGCACGAACACGCCATCCTCTCCATCAGTCCATCCCTCCCCATGCTTGGTTCACCACCACCTACCTGATACTCAGCACCAGAGAAGAGTCCAGTAAATATGTGTTGAATGAACCAATGACCCATGGTGCCTGTCTCCTGAACATATTCTTTCCATCTGTATATGGGGTGTATCTCTTTTCCTGAACCATGAGCTCTATGAGGCCAGGGACCATTTCCATCTTGCTTACTGAACGATGTCTATCCATTAGGCAGGGATTTGTCAAAATTAGGTGAATTGAAAGAAACTGCAATACATTGGAGTGTGCAAACCCTGGCCCGACTCTGACCATCTGATGTGTGATGATCTCTTTTACCTTTATAATGACCAGTGGGTCAAACTTTGGCAAGAGGTGGATAAATACACATGCTCCTAATGTCCAGGGTTCCAGAAATGAGCTCAAGATGTTCATTATCCAACCTGTGTCTGATATGGTCCATATTAGGTCTGAGGCTTGCAGGCCTGTCCATGAGCTGAGAAGAGAGAGGAAACACGTACACACACGTCAGTGCACACTGGGGTGAACGGAGCACGAGTGTGCATGCATGTGCACACGTGTGTGTACCTGAGTGTGCTGGTATACTTTGTAGGGCCGTGTGTAAGTATGAGCTGGCAGGGAAGGAGAGTTGTTCTGCCTGCACCGCCGGTTCAAGAAGGGGAGAGTGCTCGGGAGGCGTGACCCCGCTGGCCTGACCTCACAGGTAACTGGGCCTCGTTCTCCTTTCATCTCCAGACCGTGGTACAGTTTTGACATGTGGTGACCACCCAGGAACTGTTTAGTATGTTTACTCACAAAAGACATTTAAGTGATTATTCTAATAAGTCGCCTTGCTAAGTTCAGCTGAGTAGACCTTTGGTTCTCTTTTCCTGAAGCATCACAAACTGCCTATGCTATTTGCTTTCTTTTTCTGGGTCAGAACAAAAGGCAGTAGGCCTGTCTTCAAGCAAGAATGATGTAGGCTGGACAGGAAGAGCTTCCTTGTGGCTGAGAATCACCACAGTATGTGTCCCTTCCTGAAGATGATTTATATGATCGATGCTGTGAGGAAATTAGGTCACAGTCACTCAGGAACAAAGCTGGGGGGTGGGAGTGAGAGTTAATATCTTAGTTACATTTAAGTGACTTATCTTCCATATTTTAGAAACTGTATTTTACTATAGCTCTTCTATGAAATAACTTTTGTTAAATGGTTACCACAGACTCATAGGTGGAACATTTAAAATTTTGAGGTTTTTAGGCATTAAACTATTTTTCCAGTTCTAATAATAAATTGAACATGTAAGCAGGGTCTACTGCAAAAGACCCTGGTGCTCTCCTGATATAACTGCATGACGACCTTGGCACAGTGTTTTCTAACCCCACTGGTGGGGTTGACGTAGACTGGAAGGAACATCTGAATTTTGATATCAGATATCTCATTCCACCCAATTAATCCAATTACAGCTTCCACTTCAATGAGTTCGACAAGTAATTTGCTGCTGACAAAAGCCCCCTTTTGGGATGTGGGCAGTGTCAAAGCAAATTACCAGCCCCTCAAGGCACAAGGTGTGGGTCGTCTGAGGGACAATGCGTATAAACTTTGTGCTGATCATTCAAACAGCAGACACGGAGCTCAGAACCCGGAGGAGGTTTGGAGAATTCACATGATCTGAACCAGAAGTGTCACGTGGAGGGTTGTGGAATAGCCAGCATGCTCAGCTGTACCCCCCGCCCCTCCCCAGCTGTCTTCCTCAGAAGCACCAGGTGGCAGCCCGCCCCAGGGGAAGCAGGTCTCCTCACCCCGCATCCATCTTGGCCTTGAGGCCCAGGCTTGCGTGGGAGTGTTCTGCCATCTTGGGGAGGCCAGTGCTCCCGCTGGTGAAGTAGATGGCAGCTGCTTCTTGGCTTCCTGTCTCCACACAGTGATGAGTGGTAGATGCTCCCCTGACAGAGAGAGCGCGTCACGTCCTCAGGTCGGCCCACACCAGATGTCCTGGTGGTGGCCCATCCCTCCGACCCCGAGGGCAGGTCTGCAACCCACTGCAGAACGGAAGGTTATCAGTGGTTCATACCATGAGAGTCTGAGTGGGTCAGACTTGGGCTTGAAAGCCACTGAGGTTTGATACTTTGTTACCCATGTAACTTTGGACTACTTATCTAACTCCTCTGGGTCTCACTTTCCACATCTGTAGCATGGAATCAATGATACCTGTCTCCCAGTTAACTGGGACACAAGGGAAACGAGCTACTTGCTTAGCGAGAACACAGTAAATGCTCATCTACTTGTTGGGGTCCGTAGCATGACAGCAGGTGAAGAGGGGGTGCTCAATTCGTCTCTCAGATACCTCCTCCAGTGTCTAGATCTCAAGTCTCTCAAGCGTCTCCTGTTGTCTGTTCCTCTGACGGTTATTTTAAAACACCGTGCCATTAGAAAGAAGCAGCTTACGTCCCCCTGGAGGTTTACTAGGGAATGTCTCTCCCATGGAGGGGTGTCAGTCATGTGACAGGAAACGCATTCCTCCAGCCGGTGAGCCATGGACCCAGGCAACCTGGCTCAGGGACACCGGAGGGAAAGAGGAGCCTAGACCCAGACCATCAACCATCTCTTCCTCCCGTGTGTTACTGCCCTTGGCCTTCCCCTGACCCATGCGTTGGACAGCTCTGGGTGCGTTTCCACCCGAGCGTTGTTTCCAGTGGATAACGGGTGGTTCTGAGAGCCCCGGGGCTTCTCTGTTGCCCCCAAGGGGTGGAGCTCTGAGCCTACCCTGTATGTGTGTGGCCCAGAAGTGTGGGGTCAATGAAGCCCCCGCCCTGGAAATGCTCTACCAGTGGGAGCTGATGGGTGGGGCTGTCAGTCCTTCAGCAGACCACCCAGAGCAGCACTCTGTGTCCCAGAAGGTCCCACTTGCCCCTGCAGTGACTGCTGCTATTTCTTTCCTCCTCCCTGCATCCCTGTCCCCACCCCACTCTACACCTCGGACCCCCAAACCAAGCCGCTGCACGGCGTGCCTGGCCGCCCCCTGCGGTGGAAGCCCAGGGCAGGGCAGATGCTCACTGCAGTAGTGTCCTGAAGTCCAGCCAGCCATCCCGACTTCTCTCAGACACCAGGAGCTTCGTCTTCAGAGAAGGGCAGTCGGGTGCCACGGTGTCCACTGCCTGGGCCACTTCTTCCCCAGCCACGATGGCCTTGGCCTTAGACACCTGCAGCCTGTACAGAATGTCCTTGGCTGTCATCTGGATGGTCCCGGGCATGAAGACAAGGCCTGGAGAAGTCAAAAGGCTCAGAGAGAACTGGAAGGGGGCTGTCTTCTTCCCTAGAGAAGCCGGATGTAACAGCCAGTGGGCTCCAGTAGGGCAGGGGAGGTTGGGGGAGGGATGATCAATAGCGAGTATCAGTAATGACAGACCAGGGACCAGACAGTGATTTAAATACAGATTTCCCTGGATTGTCAGATCTATGAGAGGTCACACCATTGACAGTGTAAGGCCCATAACCCCACCCTCACCTGCCCCTACACACACACACACACACACACACACACACACACACACACTCCTGCAGGAATTAAAGCAATAAGGGAAGGCCCTTGTAATTGTCCAGGGCACTGCACACTGCAGTGACCTAACTAGGGACCCTGGGTGCATTTTCTTAAGTGCCTTTTCTTTAAAAAGTGCCCTTAGTTTTTGGTTTCTATCCTGATGAGACGCTGCGGATTTGTTGTGTTCTTCTAGAGAATGACAAGACTTGCTTCACCTTTTACAAAGCTGGTTTCACATGCTCCTCCTGTTAAATAGCTTTTGCCCCGGCAGTGTCTTCCCACCCTCAGCATGTCAGGGTCCTCAGGGCACACCTGCTCAGCTCTCAGACGTGTCCCCCTCAGACAGTCCCATTGAGTCTTAGTTCTGCTCAGACTCAGGTTGACTGTAACCTATCATGATGTCACTTTTCATGGCCTGTTGCTCTTCCCTGGGGCTCCCAGGCCCTACAGTGGTGCTCCAAGTCCTCTGCTTACTCTTCCTTCTTCAGCACATGTGTGAATTCCTCCTCACTGACAGAACACCTGCTGTGTGTGAGGAGGCCGTGGAGGGAGGCTCTGCACGAGGGGGTGGTGCTGAAGGCTCCTTACACCTGTTCCCATCTCATCTCTTGTATCTGAGGTTGATGGCCCCCAAATTCCTGTCTCCATCTCAGATGCTGTGCCCTGAAATCCAACTTCTCACTTCTCTTTCCCTTTTTTCCATACATATTTTTATTGAGATATAAGTGACAGATAACATTGTACTAGTTTTAGGTATATATATGTAATACATATAGGTGTATATATCGCATATATACAATATAATAATTTGATAATGTATATATTGTGAAATGATTACCACAAGTTAACATTCATTATCATACATAATTGCAATTTCTTTTCTTGTGATGAGAACTTTTATGGTCTACTCTCAGCAACTTTCAAATGTACAATACAATGTTAACTCTAGTCCCCATGCTGCACATGGCCCCCCGTGACTTATTTGTCTGGCAGCTGGAACTCTTATCCTTTTTTGAACATCGATGGGCACCCCTGACTCAACACTTACCAAATGGACTTCTCTTTCCTCGACACCCCACCCCTGGGTCCCCAGTGTTCCTCACTCCAGTGAAAGACAACAGGTCCAACAGCTGCTCAAGTGTCTGTGACTTCTCCACCCCCTAGCTTTCTTCCTCTACTCTGTCCTCTATCAAAAGTGCCCTGCTAATCATCTCTTCAATCCACCCACTGATCTCTGTCCCCTGCACCCCGTCCCAGGTGAAGTCACCCCCCCCCCCAGCTCTGCCCGTGTTATCTCATTCTCTATGCACGGTTTACGTGATCATGTCACCCTGCCCATCCATGGTTCCCTGTTCCTCATGGGATAGGGTCCAGACCCTCACCAGGGCTCACGGTTCTGCCAGTTCGGCACCTGCCCGTCTACTCTGGTCCATTTGCACTCTTCTCTCCGTGCTTCCTGGACCCCAGGCTCACAGACATCCTTTCGGGCTCCTCGCAGTGTGCCCGCTCCCCGCCCTGTGCTGTCTGTCTGCTGGAGCCCTCCTCTCTGCCCCTTTCCTGCCAAGTCCAACTGATCGGCCCTTCTGCCGGGACGTCTGCGCCCTCTGCAGACCCATCAGTTCAGGCGGCGGCCAGCTCCCGCAGGAGGGCCAGAGGCGAGTATTTCGGGCTCGGTGGAACAGCGCTCCGCCCCAGCGCCCGGGTCTGCGCTTGCGCTGTGCAAAGGCGGCGGAGCCGAGGCGGGAGCAGGGGCTGCGCTCCGTGGGGCTGCGCACAAAACAGGCCACGGGCTCCTGTAAATTCACGTGCCACATATCAGAACGTGGCCAGAGGCCGAGGCCCCTGACAGTGCAGTGGCTGTCCTGCAAAGACCTGAGGTCCTGCGAGCACAGACCGCGTTGCGGCCCTGTGCCAGCCTCCCGTGGCACGGGGCTCGCTCGGCAGCTTGCGGGACAGGCAGGCGGTGTCTGCCGGGAAGGGCAGCATCTGTGGGCAGGGGCGTCTTTTGGGAGGAATGGTGGCTTTTCTCTGCCCTCGTTTCCTTCACAAGAGAGACAGTGCCAGACGGACAATTACCAACCTGCTCGCATGCAGCCCAGAGTCACCAGCCACCACTCAGGCACCCGGGGCAGCACCACGGCCACGCGGTCCCCACGCTGCAGGCCGCAGGCTCCCGAGAGGACGTTGGCCGCCTGCTGGCTGAGCTCACTCAGCCGACCGAAGTTCCACCTCACGTCGGCCCCGTCGCCGCTCACCCACCAGAGCGCCGGGCCGGGGGCTCTGCTGCCCGCCTGCGGAGACACAGGGCACAGGGCGCGGCTGAGCGGCGGGGCTGGTGCCCGTGGGGCGGGGGGGGGGGGCTCTGCTGCCCGCCTGCGGAGACACAGGGCACAGGGCGCGGCTGAGCGGCGGGGCTGGTGCCCGTGGGGCGAGGGGGGGTGGTGGGGTGCTCTGCTGCCCGCCTGCGGAGACACAGGGCCCGGCTGAGCGGCGGGGCCGGTGCCCCGAGCGCGGGACAGTTCACCCACAGCTGCGCTCACTGAGCCCTCAGCCCAGGCCCCTACTCACTCCTAGCAAGTGTTTAAGGAACCTTAAACGTTTTTATGTGCATGGCTTCTATGTATCAGTTTTAAATTAGAAATCATAAAATAATAGTGTCAGCTCTGAATGTGGGAAAACCGAGATCAACACAGTCGTAAAGCATCAAGCTAAAGTGGCCATCGATCTTTCGGGTCTTCTCTGGGGAACGTTTTTTGCTTCTCAAAGGATATTTTTGATACACAGCTGGGTATCTTTTTCCCGGTTCTCATTCATAAAAAGCAAACTGCCAATCTTAATTACTGCAAATAATGACAGAAACCATTGGCCCTTCTTCAGATTAATGCCAATTACTTGAATTGTACATGTTCTTATAATATATATTGAATTTTGATTATTTTCTTAATATCTTCCTATTTAAACATTCTTAATCTAAAAATTATGACATAATTGGGATTAGGCATTCTGTGTTTGTGTTTATAATTATAAAGACATAAAACTTGCTCGAAGTGTGTTCTCTGGTGGACAGCCCTTGTTAATGTTGCCGGGGACTCTCCCCCTCTCCTGCTGGATGGTCATGCAGCTTTGGGTTTCGAAGCCAACTAAAGTCATGCAGGCGAATACATACGAAAAATAAGACTAATAGCACCATAGCACTAATTCCTATTTCATCAATTTGGAAATATCTGACTGATTTCTCTCTGCAAATAGTACATTTTTTCATTACTATTTATGACTAAACCACAATATTTAGGGAAAACTGGCCACTATTCAACTAGCATCTCTATTTCCTTATAACTAAAATTGTGCTCATAATTATGATCAATAGAACCACTCTTCAAGAGTTATAATGCAAAAAAAAAAAAAAAATTAGGACTAAATAGAATAACATATTTTGAAAAACAAACAATATTGACTAGGTTAGAAATGAAAACTGAGATGTTTTATAAATATGTGCTTCAAGAAATAGCATAGGCCCTGGCCAGTTTGGCTCAGCGGTTAGAGCGTCGGCCTGCGGTCCGGAGAGACCCGGGTTCGGTTCCCGCTAAGGGCACGTACCTCGGTTGCAGTTTGTCCCCGGCCCTGGTTGGTCGTGCGGGTGGCAGCCACTCGATGTGTCCCTTCACGTCGATGTTTCTCTCTCTCTCTCCCTTCCTCTCTCCCTCCCACTCTATCTGTACAAAAAATGAAAAAAATATCCTCGGGTGAGGATAAAAAAAAAAAGAAATAGCATAGATTCATTATACACAAATAAGATGTCATTCAATAAAAAGTTAAGTGTACTTTCTGAAACAACAGAAACCAAGAAGGGTGCCATTGTCCCAGAGTCTGCAAGTCTCTACTGATGTCCTTTTTTAATAGAAGACAGGTTTTTATTCTTGTCTCTGCGCTCACATTGTGGCCATGTAACCTGTCAGACAGCCTCTGGAAGATGCCACTGGGTGCTTGTGAGAGAGTGGGGACGAAAACACAGATGTTGTCATGGATCAACCCATCTACCACCCACCTGTCTGTCTGCCTGTCTGTCTGTCTCTCTATCTATCATCTATCTATCTATCATCTATCTATTACCTACCTCTCATCTATCCATCTATCTCTATCTTTGTTTTCCTTTTTATTGTGGTAAAATGTATATAACATAAATTACCATTTTATTCCGTTTACGTATACAGTGCAATAGCATTAAGCTCATTCTCATTGTTGTGCAACCATCACCACCATCATTTCTAGAAATGTTTCATCTTCCGCCCTCCCTGGCTGTGCTGCCCCACCTCCCAGCCCCTGGCAACAGCCCTTTGCTTTCTGTCTAAGGACCTCATCTAAATGGAATCACACAGTATTTGTGGCTTATTTCACTGAACATGATATCTTCAAGGCTCATCCATACTGTAGCATACAGCAGAATTATATTCTTTTTAAGGCTGAATACTACTCCACTGTGTAAATACGCCCCATTCTGTTGATGCATTCATTTACTGTAAGTAATTCTGTTATGAGCGAGGGTGTGCAAATACACCTCCAAGACCCTGCTTCTGATTTTTCTGCGAAGACACCCAAGAGTAGAATTGCTGGGTTATATGGTAATTTTATTTTTAATTTTTAGAGAAAATGCCATCTGGTTTCCCTCAGAGGCTGTATCATTTTACATTACCACCATTTTACATTACTACCTAGTGCACTAGGGTTCAACTGTCTTAATGTTGTTTGGAAATAGTTTTGATTTTAAAGACTCTCCTGTAGTCTCAGGTGTCCTTGGGGGCTCCCATACTATAGTTTGAGAGCAGTAATGAAAAGTCAAAGAGAAAATGTATTGGTAATAGTGTGAGATTTTTCTACGTTTCTCAATAGGAGTTGTCTCTTTTGCATTTTGATCAGTAGTGTGTGAGAGGGTCTATTTCTTCATAGCCTGCCAACAGAATATGTTGTCAAGCTTTTGCATTTAACTAAACTGGTAGGTAAAAAGTATGATTTCAATGAAGCTTTAATTTGCATTACTTTTTTGATGAATGACGAGCATTTTTTATTATATTTAAGGAGCATTTTAGTTCACTCTTCATGAGCTGTCTATTTCATCCCCTTTTATGTTGGGGTATGCCTTTTTATTCTTGATTTCTAGCCTCTTCTTTTGTATTAGGAATGTTAACTCTTTTTATTGTTTTTTTCTTGGAATTTTTTTTTTATTAATTAATTTTTGTTACAGATGTTTCTCCTTTTTCCCCCACTGATTCCCCCCTCCTCCTCCCTCCCTGCCCTGTCCCCAGATTGTTGTCCATGTCCACTGTTCATGCATACATGCATATAAGTTCTGTGGTTCATCCCTCCCCCACCACCCCCCTCTTTAGGGGATTGTCAGTCTGTACCCCGCTTCCGTGTCTCTGGGACTACCCCATTCCTCAGACTGTTATGTTCATTATATTCCACAAATAAGTGAGATCATATGAAACTTGTCTTTCTCTGTTTGGCTTGTTTCACTTAGGATGATACTTTCAAGGTCCCTCCATGTAGTCTCAAAGGATAAGAGATCTTTCTTTCTTACCGCTGCGTAGTACTCCATTGTGTATATGTACCACAGCTTTTTGATCCATTCGTCTACTGATGGACACTTGGGCTGTTTCCAGATCTTAGCGATTGTAAATAGTGCTGCTACAAACATGGGGGTACATATATTCTTTCTGATTGGTGTTTTATGCTTCGTAGGGTATATTCCTAGAAGAGGGATCACTGGGTCAAATGGAAGATCAATTTTTAATTTTTTGAGGTGACACCATATTGTTTTCCATAGTGGCTGCACCAGTCTGCATTCCCACCAGCAGTGCACTAGAGTCCCCTTTTCTCCACACCCTCACCAACACTTGTTGTTTGATGATTTGTTGATGGCGGCCATTCTGACAGGTGTGAGGTGATACCTCATTGTTGTTTTAATTTGCATCTCTCTGATGATTAGTGATGATGAGCATTTCCTCATATGTTTCTTAGCCATTTGTATGTCCTGTTTGGAGAGGTGTCTATTTAGTTCCTCTGCCCATTTTTTAATTGGATTCTTTGTCTTCCTTTTGTGGAGTTGTATGAGCGCTCTATATGTATTGGAAATTAACCCCTTATCTGTTATATCATTGGCAATTATGCTCTCCCATACAGTGGGTAGCCTTTCCGTTTTGATGATTGTATCTTTCGCTGTGCAGAATCTTTTGAGTTTATGTAGTCCCATGTGTTTATTTTCTCCTTTGTTTCTATTGCCTTAGGTGATGTGTCAGTAAAAATTCTGCTGCGTATGACGTCTGAAATTTTGTTGCCCACAGTCTCTTCTAGGATTTTTATGGATTCATGAGTTACATTTAAGTCTTTTATGCATTTTGAGTTTATTCTCATGTAGGGTGTAAGTTGATGGTCTAGTTTCATTTTTCTGCAAGTAGCTGTCCAATTTTCCCAGCACCATTTATTAAAGAGGCTGTCCTTACTCCACTGTATGCTTTTGCCACCTTTGTCAAATATTAATTGAGCATATTGCCTTGGGTCCATTTCTGGGTTCTCTGTTCTGTTCCACTGGTCTATATACCTGGTCTTGTGCCAGTACCAGGCTGTTTTGATTATAGTGGCTTTGTAGTATAACCTGAAATCTGGTAATGTGATCCCTCCAACGTTATTCTTCCTTTTCAAGATTGCTGTGGCTATTCGAGGCCTTTTTTGGTTCCATATGAACTTTTGAAGTAATTGTGCTAATTCTGTGAAATATGCCGTTGGTATTTTGATGGGGATTGCGTTGAATCTATATATTGCTTTGGGTAATATGGACATTCTAATGATGTTAATTCTCCCAATCCATGAACAGGGTATGTGCTTCCACTTTTTTATATCTTCCTCTATTTCTTTTTTCAATGACCTGTAGTTTTCTGCGAATAGGTCCTTTATTTCTTTGGCTAAGTTTATTCCTAGGTATCTTAATTTTTTTGCCGCAATGATAAATGGGATTGTTTTCTTAGTTTCTCTTTCTGTGAGTTCATCATTGGTGTATAAGAATGCCATTGATTTCTTGACATTAATTTTGTATCCTGCCACTTTGCCAAATTCATTTATTAAGTCTAGTAAACTTTTGATGGAGTCTTTGGGGTTTTCTATGTACAGTATCATGTCATCTGCAAATAATGACAATTTCACTTCCTCCTTTCCAATTTGGATCCCTTTAATTTTTTCTTCCTGTCTGATTGCTGTGGCTAAGACTTCCAGTACTATGTTAAATAGGAGTGGTGAAAGT